TTAGTCAATGCGTTGACTTCTGCAGAGGGGCGTGTGCACAAGCAGTCTTTTTATAGCCTGGAGAGAAGCCTAATGACCACCAGCTGAGTGCAATTACCTCCTGTACTTGCGCAACTGTTCCTGACGTCTATTATCTCTTCGGTGCCAGGCATCCAGGAACAACTCACTGCTGGATTCCGGATCACTCTCCCTTTTTTCCTCCCCACTAGTCCAAGGCTCAGGCACTTCCTGGTGGCCAACCAGTCTCTCTGCGCCCTGCTCGGAGTCGGAACCCTGTCCAGGGTCCTCCACATCCTCCAGAGCCGATTCATAGGGGCTCCTCGCTGTCGGAGTCTGGTGGCAGCTCCAACGGCACCTGCTGGGCCACAACACCTATCCAAGCAACAGGCGGAGGCAGAGGCATGGGGGGACAAGGCAGATGATCCAGAAGCACCTTGGGAAAGCCGAGAGTCAAGTTGCAGTTGGCAGGTTGCCGCAGGAGGCTCATCTTCGAATGGCAGCACTGGCAGCAGATACAGGCAGAGGCACAGGGAGAGGGGAGGAAAATCAGGTGATCTTGATGTGCCACAAGGGTCACAGGCAAGCCAAGAGATGAAGACAAGCCTCCCGTGGCCGGCTGCCCACTCCATCCCACTAACTTTGTTTTCCATGGCCAGTTCAGCACATCTGGATCAGCTGTTTTCCTGTGCCCACCCCCTCCAGCTGATGACGACATTAACTGGGGCTTATTTTGGGGGGTAGGGCTTATATTAGCAGGCTAAAAATCAGGCTAGGGCTTATTTTCTGGTTAGGCCTTAATTTCAGGGAATCACAGTACTTTAGTAGTTGTGTCAGGCCTGGAAGTATCTTCTGCATTGGGCCTTCAGGCCTCCCACAATTAATGCTGTGGGAAAATAGGAGGGGGGATTATATGGAGTATAGTCTAAATAACATTCCTTTCTCAGAGACTCAAAAGACTTCCTGTCCTTCACCTGTAGGGGTGTGACTATGAGGCGTCTCCAGTTGGAAGGGGCCTGATTGGACCATGTGATGGACATGTGGGTGTAGGGCAGGGACTCAAATGTTCAATTGGGTGGGGAAAATCTGGAAGCTTTCAGATTCGGGTTTTCCCAGATGTGCCAATATGACATCTAATAAAATGGAACTTTGAGGAAATACAAACCTTGAACTCTTCTTCTGTTAGGGGTGTTACTTGGAACCCTGACATGTGGTTTCTTCCTATAACATATATTTAGTATTTACATAGTAGTTCTATATTTAGTCTCTTTGCTCATAGTGGTTCCTCTCTCTTCCTTTCCAGGGACTGGTTCCAGGGTCATGGCATGCCTGGGAAACTCAGGGCCATCCAAACAGTGAGCTGTCTCCTGCAAGGCCCTTCAGAGGCTGGAAACCAGGTGCTGGAACTGAATGGCATCATGGAAAACATTCTGGCATTGTGTGCCTCATCTCAGGTGGCTCACCAGCTTGTGGCTGTGGAGGCCCTGATCCACGCAGCTGATAAGGCCAAACGTGCCTCCTTCATCACCGCAAATGGTGTGACACTGCTCAAGGAGATTTACAAGCACAGTGAGCGTGACAGCATTCGCATCCGGGCCCTGGTTGTGAGTAGAAGGAGCTTGTTTTGGATCAGGTTGGGTGACAGGGAGGGAGGGAGCTTATTCAGTGGCACTCCTTTCTCTCTGTCGCTTGTTTGCCTTTGGTAAATGACACCTGCCCGGTGCAGGCAGGTTGTATGATTGATTGTTGTCTGTGTTTTCAGGGCCTTTGTAAATTGGGCTCGGCAGGGGGCACAGATTTCAGCATGAAACAGTTTGCCGAAGGCTCCACCATGAAACTGGCCAAGCAGTGCTGCAAGTGAGTGTGGGCTTTCCTTGGCTGCAAGAGGTGCTCTGCCCTAAAGTAGTATAGCCTTTATTGTCATACAAAATAAATACAACAAAAGCCTCCAACACCTTCAGTTCCACCTGCTCTTGCACCCTTTGGGGGAGAAGACATCAAGTATTGCTTGCTGCTTTCACATTTGTAAACGTGGTGAACATCCAAGGGTGAGTGTGATCTGGTTGCAGGTCGACATGTTTTATGCTGAATGGAAGCTAACAGCCTGAGCAGATCTGATGTAGTTGCAGTATGGACTGAATCTGATATTCTGTGATTGCTATCAACCTTGCATGTTTGAGCTCTTGTCCCTAATGGTTGAAGTGAAATTCTAATGCTCCCTACTGAATGGCTGGGGTCTTGGTAGATCTAATGTCCCCTTGTCCCACATCTAGATGGTTGTGCAATGAGACCCTTGATGCTGGCACCCGCCACTGGGCAGCAGAAGGTTTGGCATTCCTTACCTTGGACGCAGATGTCAAGGAAGAACTTCTGGATGACAAGGCAGCTCTCCAGGCTCTGTTCCAGCTGGCACAGGTAGAGCTTCTTTGGGAGTTGAACATGATAGGGAGGAAACTATTCCATCAGCCATATTCTAATAATGTCCAGTGGCAAAAATCAGAGTGCATCTTTTCTGATTAACAACTTTTAGAAAGGCTTTTATTAGTTCACTTCATCAGATGCAGAGTAGCTGCACAGATGTAGGAATTAAATTGGGGTGAGATGGGGAAAAATGGCAGAGGAAGATGGTCTGATAGATTGAAGTGACATGTGAGACAGAGTACTTCATCAATTGTTTAGAACCCATTATATTTGTTGAAAGCAAGATTGTGAGAAGCCTTTTGATGTCTGCAGGTGCAGCTCCTCCTCAATTGGTGATCCTGTGAAAGTCCTTCTTTTCTAAAAGAGTCATTTTGAAGTCTGCTATGCAGGCTCCTGGGAGGTTGAAATGCTTAGACCTTGCTTGAGTTCTGATGTCAAACATGTCCCTTAATTCTTTTGCACAAAGTTGTTCTCTTGATTGTATGAAGAATCCAGAGGGGCATTGCTAGCAGATAATGGCATATCTCGCATTGGAGGAACAACGTGAAAGTGTCTCTAATCCTGTGTGCCTGTGATGGGCTCTTAGTGTAGATAGAGGCATCTGGGTTTGTACAGTATCTATCTCCCATGTTGGCCTCTTTGTCCTGTTTTTTCTTGCTGCTTGTGAGAATATGCTTCAGGTTGGGTGGAGTCTGTGCTCAAGTCTGGGTCTGCCCCGTGCTTGAAAATGTCATGTCACCATCCAGTATGACTGCATTGCGCGTTTGTCTGTGATAAAATCAGTAACATTTTGAAAAAAAGATTGTTGTGCAGCCCACTGACTGGTAGCTCAGGGGAAGATAGACTATGCTTGAATGATGGAAGATATGTCCTAAGGATGATAAGACAAGTTGCCCCAAGAGGGATGCGCTGGCAGTGTCCAGTGGAAGAAGATAGCTGTCTCTGGAGATACTCAGTATTGATTTTTGGAACACTCTGGCTTAAGTGCTTGTTTATCCAATTCAGAATTCCAGGATATCTGCAAGTTATAGATGCTTATTGGTGAACTCAAAGGGCTGCCAAATAAACTTCCCCTCTCCCTGCTCCTTGCTTCCATCCTAGTCAGAGAATCGGAACTGCTTATTTGCAGTGGCCTCTACACTGGTCAACTGTACCAACAGCTATGACTTTGAGGAACCTGACCCACAGATGGTGGAGCTTGCTAAATATGCCAAGCAGCATATCCCTGAGAAGCACCCCAAGGTGAGATGGAAAAGTGCCCAGGGGGATGAGGAGTGGAGGCAAAAGCCCTGAGGGAGAGAAGGGATTGCGCATCTTAGGGAGGTGGCAGAGGTGCAATGGAGCTGCCTGTAAATGGCAGTCCTTACTGGTGCCTTCACTCATCTCATCTTCTAGGATAAGCCAGAGTTCGTCCATAAGCGTGTGCAGAAGCTCTTGGCCGCAGGTGTGGTTTCGGCTCTTGTTTGCATGATCAAGAACGAGAGTCCTTCTTTAAGCCCTGCCTGCCGGGAGCTGATTTCCAGGTGAGGCTCTGCGACTTGACCTTGAATCCAGAGGTGAATAAACTGGGAATACTCAGGTGGGACTGGCAGTGGGGAGGGGTTCCTCAGTGTACAGCATGAGTTTCTGGGGGAGAGGTGGCCGCTCATCTTCCCTGCCAAAGATGACTTGCATCTCGAGACATTCAGACATTGGTTATTGCTCCATTGATTGAACATACCTGTGAGATACAGTTTCTCATTTTGCTGCTGACCTTGCTAGGCAGTGGTTCCTCTAAGACCTATACTTGGACAAGAGAAGGGAAAGGACTGCAGAAGACTCTTGAGAACCGGCAGTCCATGGGCTCCATGCATCTCCATAGTCCTTCCAAGAAAAGGGTTTGAAGCATCTTTTTCTCCCTGGGGCTTATTGGAGCAAACTAGCATTATGATTCCTGAGACAGGAGATCATTAGTTGAATGGTCTTGGTTTGGGGGGGGGGGGGGGGGAGGTGTCAGGGCCCAGTAGAGACTCTAGGGATGAAAATTACAGCCCAGCCCTGCTTTCTGCAGCTGCTGTTTTTTGGCCCTCCCAGGGTCCTCAGTTAAAACCGGAGTCCCAAAAGTTGGAAAATGCCATTTGCCTGGTGCAGGAATCTAGCTGAAAGCATGCCAGTGGAGGCCATGTCACCTGCACCTGAAATTGCTCTCTGATGAGGCAGGGTTTCTGGTTCCTGTGTGTCTTAGCTCAGTGAACTGGTAGGGTGGAGATGATGAGTCCTATTTGCTTGCCATCTCTACTCCCACATGGCTGGTGGGAGGGTATGTGCTTGAACCTGGCTCTGACCCCCCCCCTCTCCAAATCCTGCTGTGCTGCAGGGTTTTCCAGGCCATAGTGGATAACCCAGAGAACCGTGGAGCTGTGGTAGCTGCTGGAGGGGGGAAGGTCAGTATTGCCCCTTCCTCCTCTTTCTCTTCCCTGCAAGGCTCTCAGGGCTGAACAGTGTTTCCCCCTTCCCTGTCACCCAACAGGCGCTCATCCCTCTGGCTCTGGAGGGGACTGAAGTGGGGCAGAGCAAGGCCGCCCAGGCTCTGGCCAAGATTGCCATTACTACAGCTCCGGAGATGGCCTTTCCTGGAGAACGGGTCTGTGTGGGGCAGCACTGGTGGGAATGGGAGGCGGCTCTTCTTTGTTCCTCCTCTCCTGTGAGCAGGGCAGGGCTCCTCCTAGCTGAGCCAGGCATTTTTCTTCCGCAGGTCTATGAGGTAGTCAGACCCCTGGTGAGCCTCCTGCATTTGACTCGTTCCGGTCTGCAGAATTTTGAGGGGTTGATGGCACTCACCAACCTGGCTGGGACCAGTGAGAGGCTAAGGTGAGGCCTGTTTTGGGTCTGGGAAGGCGAGGTCCTTTGGGGTCTCAGCATGGCTTCTGTGGCTACTTCTCCCCATGTCTCCTGCAGGCAGAAGATTGTGAAGGAAAAGGCCATGCCCATAATCGAAGGCTACATGTTTGAGGAGCACGAGATGATTCGACTGGCAGCCACGGAGTGCATGTGCAACCTGGCCTTGAGCCCCCAGGTGGGCAGCTGAGAGCAGGCTGGGGAGGGCTGGGCACTACCCCACAGGCCTAACAGCTGTTTGTCTTTCATACAGGTGGCGGAGCTGTTTCTGGCCGAAGGCAGTGATCGGCTCAAATTGTTGGTTTTGTACAGTGGGGAAGAAGATGAGAGGCTTCGTCGGGCAGCTTCTGGGACGCTGGCGGTCTTGACCTCGCTGCTGCCACAGATCTGTGTCCGGATTTCCCAAGTGGTAAGTTTGTGTGAGCTAACACTCTCTCGCTCACAGAAACACACACTTCCTGAAGAGGGCACCTTGCTCTCTGTGAGCCTGGGAAGGCAAGAGGCACGATCTTCTGCCACAGACCTGCTTTTCCAGGGGCACTGCCAACTCTGGAAGCAGGGCTGTTGCTTGGTGGAGCATCCAGTGGGTTGCAAGGGCAGGGTCGGGCATGCCTGCCATCTGCCTCTTGTTGCTTCTCCTCCAAGACAACGGACTGGCTGGAAATCCTGCAGTCTCTGCTGTTCAGCCCCTGCATAGAGCTTCAGCATCGTGGCGTGGTAGTGGTGAGAAACATGATGGCAGCCAACCGGGAGGTGGCCACGAAGCTGATGGAGAGCGAGATGCTGGAGATATTGTCCATGGCGACCAGAGCAGAGGACAAGCCCCAGGTGGCTCAGTTGGCCCAGGAGTGCCTGGCTCATGCGGTCTCCTATGGCTTGATTAAGCCCAATGCTGCTGCTAGGGAGTGAGGGCCCTCATTCCATTCCCCCCCCCCACTCAGAAGCACCTCTGCAGCACCTGGCCCACACACCAGGCTGGGCCTGGTGGGGCACTACTAGCTGCTGGGACTTGTCAAAGCGGAAATTCTTTGGGGTCCTGGGACAGACACGCAGACACACAAACTGAGAGACTGCCCTGGGGCAGGAGGGAAACACACACAACACTGGTTCTCTCGCACTTTTGGCATTTTGTACACTGGCAGACAACGCTGTAGGATTTAGGGAATAATGGGACCCACTGTATAAATAAAAACAAAAAAACCCTTTTTGTGCATCTGGTATATTCAATGTTTGAAATTATAGCATTTGGAATAGTGAAAGGAGCTCTCTATGGCCAAGGGAGAGGCAGGAGGAAAAAAAAATCAGAAATTGTCTCTAAGGGGGAATTGTGGTTTCCATTAGATTGACTCAGATCTCCAGCTGGGTGCCAGTGTTAAAGGCAATGCCCAGAAGGCTCCTTGGTTGAGTGCACAGGCCCCTCCCTGTCAGACCTGGAAGCCATCATTTACAAGCCTCAGAGTCTTTTTTCGTTGGCAACATTACTTGGAACCCTGACAACCCAGCTTTATCCAGCAGCGACTGTCACCCGCCCCCTGGGCTGCTAGACTCTGCCTCGCAGGGTGATTGATGATCCAGGCCGCCTGGCTCTGCCAGGGCCAAGGCTGCGCCATCCATGGCAGTTGCTTGCAGCAAAGCATCCTCCATTCAAGCCAATGGCGCTGGGGCCAGGCCAGGTGGGGAATAGCTGGTTCAGCTTTTGGTTTTTGCTGAAATGGTGGCATGGAGGACAGGCCTGAGCCTCTGTCTAGACGCATGTGCTGTTGCGAGAGGCTGCACTGGAAGCCTGACCCACCACTATGGGGCTGGCTGCCCTCCTAGGCAGGCAGGCAGGCAGAGGTGTGGCCATGACCTCAACCACTCCAGATGACACACCCTTTCCCCCACAGGGCTGCAGCTGGTGGCCATTGGCTACATGGCCCCCCAGACCACCTTTCACAGTGCTACCCGCTGTCCCCACTGCAGCCCTTGCTGCTTCACCCTGCTTGTTTCCTTTTCAGGTGCCAGCCATCTCTACACCTGGGGCTGCTGTAGGTAAGGCACTTGGGAGGCTTGACCAGGTTTTGTGGGGCCAACTGTTTTCCCAGGGAAATATGACCAGTTGGGGGAACCAGGATGTGGCCACGTCCAACAGGCATTTCTCTGGAGGTCGAGCAACTTCACAGAGTTCAATCTTGATCCCAGAACGTGAATGAGAATTTTGAGTGGGGATGGTGATGGTGGTCAGTGGTCACTGCAAATTTCCTCTGAAGTGAGCAGCACAGATGTTTCTTAAGGCAGCACAACAATGTTTACATATCAGAAGCACAACATTAAATGCAGAATAAAATTATCTTTTATGTAGAGCAAAGTCTGACATTTAAAAAAAGCTTTTTCAAAACAGTACAACTGATTTTTTGCTGCTCACCTACATCTTTGAACAAGCGAACAGCCACACAAATAAATAAGAGGCTGCTGTAGTGAGGAAGGTGCAAATCTAGCCATGATCATTAAATGTACAGTTGAAGTGCCAGGGGTGCCAGCCCAGCCAGGAGACGGCCAGTCGGTGAAGAGGGAGGTGATGCATCCTTGGAGGACTCCCTTCCTGTGCCCAAGGTGAGCAGGAGGCCACTGCTAAAGAGCAGGGCCTGGGTAGACAGGGTTGCCCAAGGAAAGGAGGAAGGCAAACCTCCGCCTGCTGCTCCCCTCCCCCCGGGCACCCCATGAACAAGGCAGCAGGCCACGGCCCAGAAGCTGCTGCATCTAAACCTTTATTCCCTGTAACATAAAACCTGGAAATCAATTCATTAAAAACAGTGGCAGCATAAACCGGGCCCCAGAAGGTCCAGTTCATGGTGGACCCTGGATGGTGAGTGGATCCAGGGCTGGTAACAGCCCCTCTTCAGGTGTCAGGATTGGAAGCCGTGGAGTTGAGGACATGGGATCGGTGCTCAGATTTGGAAGCCTCTGAAAGTGCGCGCTGGGGAGGGAAAAGAACAGTTGGTGTGAAGGCGGCAGAGGGAGCTGCGGGGGGGGGGGGGGCAGGGGTTTGAAAGGCAATGGGGTAGGTATTTGGACAACATGGGGGGCTTTTGATAGGAGGGGAAGCAGCGGCAGGGAAGGAACTGTGTAAAGGGAGGTAGAACTGTGGGCTGCCCTGCCCAAGCTTGCCTCCAGCCATGGAGCCCTCTTTCATGGAGGCCCCTCCCTCACCACTGCCATTTACAGGCAGGGGAAGCAGCAGCAAAAGGAGCCCCATCAGCAAGTAGGACCCACCCAGCCCTTGGTCTCCCTTTGGCCAGGGCTGACTGGCCAGAGGCCCGGAGGGGGAATGCAGCCAACTGGCGACTCTCGCTCCAGAGCCAGCCGGGACAGAAGGGCAGAGGGGAAGAAGAGGGAGAAGGGAATTACCGCAAATGCCGAATAGGTGCTGGCAACAGAGTAAATGCTGCCATTGTGCTGGGCAGGGGCTGTCAGGGTACACCCACCGCTCAGAGGTGTTCTGTTGAGCTGAGACACGTTCTCCTTGTTGCACTCCATCTGGCCTTTGGAAGGGGTCTTGGCAACCACACGGATGGGGGTCCGGACAAGCTGCAGGCAGAGAGGGGAGTGGCACTTTGGGCAAGGACAGCCAGAAGATTAAAGGAAGGAGCACAGGAAGGGCCATGTTTGACAAAGGCATTAAGCCATGGTGCAGCTCTTCTGGGAATTTAGGACTGCCACTCTCCATCTTCCTCAAACAATTGCTCTAAAGCCACTCAGTCCCTAGTGCCACAGGTATGTGCAATGTGGGCTCCATGAACTCTGGTGCTCTTGCCTGAGCACAGCTGACAGGGCAATGCAGGAACGGCCCAGCTGTCATGTTGCTTTTGCTTTCTGCGTAATTTTGTCTGCATTCCAAAACCTTGAGCTGCAGAAGGCCTGTGCCACAGGTAAAGGGCTGGATTTAGGCAGCAGCCCACCCAAGGAGGCTAACCACCTCTATTGTGGCCAGGACTTCTTGCCAAGTGCCAGCTGCACCCGAAGCCAGTGCAGCACTTGGGCATTGCAATGGTGTTAGTTAGGCCAATTCCCACTGCTGAACTTCCTGTAGTTTCTGCAGCCTCTTGGGCTTCTGACAGAGCTGGAAATGGGATGGGAGGCTGCCTCCCTCCAGACTCTTTACCTTGCTTGCAGACAGGGGTGGGTGGCATCTGGGGGAGTTTAACACCGAACCTCTCAGGGCTGAGCGGATGGTGCTGTTGGGAGTTGTGATGGTAACGTTGAGCTGCAAGAAAAGTCCAGGCGTTAGGAAAAAAAGGGGTCCCTGGTGCACAGCAAAAAACATCTGATGGCCGTTTCCAGGGGAAAATACTGCTAATCAATTCTCACTTTCAGATCTACCACATGTCTTTACATCACAATACCTTCAGCTGCACAGAAAATGGATTAGAAACCTGATCAAGGACATAATTTTATTGTGTCTCACACTTCTTGCCCTGCCCTCAGATGCTGTGGGGAGTAGGATGATCCCCTCTTGGAACACTACTATCCTCTTACCCCTAGTCCTTTTCACTAGACTAAACATACCCACTTCCTGCAACTGTTCTTCATGTTTTAACCTCCAGCCCTCTAATCGTCTCCGTTGCTCTTCTCAATTGTACATTGAAATGTGTCCCTGTGTAGGGATGATTGTATGCTTCTGGTGGAACCTGGTGCTGAGTTGCAAGAGGGTGGGGGCCTTTCCCAAAAAGCTCAGGCAGATCAGCCTTAAATCACTGGTGTGCAGGGATCCTCCCCTAAATCTTTCCAAGGGGCTTTAGTCTGGTAAGATTTTCTTTATGGGTGAAAAGCAATAGTAACTACCCTGAGCAAACCAGGTTCTTGGTACCTTGCACCTGATAACACTGTTGGGAGGCATTTGTATCCTAGAGATGCCATCCAACCTCCCCGGTTTTTTAAAACTACATTTGTTTAGAAAAAAGCTTCTAACTGGGATATGTAGCAAATAATAAAGCCACCACCCCACTTTCTGGGTTAGTCCTGGACCCGAGGTGTCTTCAGGCATTCAAAAGAGGCCAGAGGAGTGTCCAGAGCTCCAGCAAAAAAAGTCCACAAAGGGAAAAGATGACACTAAAGAGGAAAGGAAAAAAGCTGTCCTGCATTTATATATGCGAGGTAAAAAGGCAAACCCTGACTTCTGGGTGATCCCACTTACCTTCCGTGCTTTGCCAGGTGTAGTGATGCCCAAAGCCCGTCTCTTGGTGGGGGTGCTGCCATAGAGCATCTCCTCTTCCATCTGTCGGGACTTTTTGAGTTGCTGAAAGGCAGAACGGAATGGGAGTAGGCTAAACAGGAACTGGCGTATCTGAAATGGATCTCAAGCGAACTTTTTAGTTAAATCATCTTTTTGATTTAGTTCATCAAAGAGATGGACCAGCTGCTTAGCTATCACACTTGGAATCGGAGGGCAAGTCAGAAGTTGGGGGAGGAAGACGACGCAGGAGGGGCTGCAATTCACCATCTCTGCCAAGTGCTTAGAGCACAGCTGGAACCGGCTCTGCTTCCAAGTGGGGAAAGAAACCTTCTGACATCCAGTGGTGGAGCCCTGCTCTGCATGTCCCAAAACCCACAAAAGACCCCCTAGGTCTTTGATGGGTTTAGAGCTCTGAGAGGCAAGGGAATAGCCATCTTAGAGCACAGAATCATAGGACTGGAAAAAACCTCGGTGGTCTGCACATGGCTGGCTCATACTTGGTCCACTAGGACATCTTGCGCTCTCTCACATTTGCTAGATGCCACCCACTCTGTACCTGGGCATTTGGTTATCCTTGCCTAAGTGCAGGACCTGACTTTTCTCACCCCTTTTTGTCCCAGATGCTGTTGGCGCCTTTGAGACATCATTCCATTCACCTACTCCTTTTCTAATTGTTTTAGGAAATTACTTGTTAGCTGCTTTTCAGCTACCAAGAGCTTTGGGATTGAAAGACTTTGCAGCACCAGGTGTGTCTCCTTCAGCCTTAGTGAGAAATATAAATTTAAGAACTTAACTTTATTTTTTGGGAATTAACAGCAAAAAGGTGAATAAAACATTGATTTTCAAATGGACAACAGGACAAGAAAAATTTGAAATAAAAATTTAGACTTATAAAGAATCTTTCCCATGAGAAAATGCTTTCATTCTGAATTCTTCCCAAAACAAATTATAAAAAATTGGATACCAGAAGGAATTAAAGATTAATTAAAGGAGAACATTCAAACTTGACTTACTAATATAGAATGAAGCAAAATATTTAAATATTAGATGTACTGAAGGGTATTTTTGAACAAAGGAAACAGAAATTAATATCTGCCTCTGTAGATAGACTGTGCTTCAAAGATGCCATGCAAGAGGAACAAACAGTTCTTGGCATGATTGAGACTGATCTGAAAGCGGCTTTAAAAATGAAAGGCTACAAGAATGACAAGGAAAAAGATGCTTCACAGGGCATACAAAAGAAATCGACTCATGCTTAATAATTCAAAGGATGACAAACCAAGAAAAGAACCTGGATAATTTTCCTATATTGGATTTAGAGAACAGGATTGTTAATGTTTTGAATAATTTTGTGAGAAGGGACAAAGAAATACGAAAAGAAATGTTGTAGGTATAGGCCACGCCCGGGTAGTGGGCCACAGGTTGAGGACCCCTGTTCCAGGATATTATTTGAAGGGACTAAAGGCCATGATTGTTAAAAGTAAAGGTTGAACTAGACCTGTTCTCCCTTCAGTGGATGTTTGCTGGTTTCAGGACTGAAGTAACAAGGCCTGATAGATTTGTTTATGTGTAACCAGTGGGATAAGGGGAGAAAATATTGTGTTTTTCCAACAGTTACTAAAGGGGAAAGTCATTTCTTTACATATTTATTCTTGTTTTGTATTTTTTATTCTTTTCCTTTTTTTAGTTTATATTTGTTTTTAACTCTTTATGTTTTAGCTTACATCTAACTGTAAGATAGGCAGCCAATAAAATGTATAGATAAAATATAATAAAATAAAAAAGTTTTTATTGATATAAACTTTAATAAAATTACTATTAAAAACAAACAAACAAACAAACAAACAAGCCAGCATTGCTGGAGGGAGCCCAGAACTGCCTCCTTGGGAGAAGGGGGAAGCAACTGCTGGGTGGGCTTATAAGCAAAATCGTTCCTCCTGGCTGCCCTCTGGCTAGAAGGGACTAAGCACAGCTACCAATCAACAGGCTTGCTACCCTTTTACCATTCTGGGAGTTGAAGTCCACAAGTCTTAAAGTTCCCAAGTTTGGACACCCCTGGGATAAACTAACAGCTATGTGTGGAAGGCTGAGGCTATCCACTCACCCGTTCCTGCTTTTCCTTCTCCTTCTCCAGATGATGGAGGCGCCATTGCTCAGCCATGTGCTCCATAAAGGGCTGCCCGCTCACTAGGAAGTCCTGAGCATGCTCTTGCTGCCACAGCTCAACACGGACCCTCAGCTCCTCCTCCAACTGCACTAGAAAAAGTCAAGTTTAGGTGGGGCTGCCAGAGGTTCACAGGATAGGGAGAGTGGCTAGGACCACTTGCCTTGGGAAGGGTCTTCTGCAGCTTGGCACGCAGCTTCTCTTCTTTCAGGAGGTTGCCTCCTCGGTTGGTGAAGCGACTTAGATCGGTGGCCTTTTTCTACAGGGAGGAAAAGGTGAGAGTCTCATGCTGCCTGGAGAGGCAGCTGAGCCCACACAGCCCAGCTCACAACTACCTCAAGCTCCTGAAAGAGACACCAGCTCCTCTTCCATTTGTGGATTGCTTCAAAGAGCTCTTGATGTGTCTCGTAATAATGCTTTAGTCGCATGAGCTCATTGTCATGTTGCTGCAACAACTCTTCGCTGAAGGTGTCTATGATGGAGGAAAACGTGGGATGGCAGAAAGGGGCCATTGAAGATGGCCTCACTCACCTTCAACACTGGCCCCCAACCTACCTTCATAGTAGGGGCCAAAGGAGCACCTCTGCTCTTCCCCCAAAAAGCACTTGTCCCAGTAAGTGGCCAGCTCAGCCCGAATGGCCTCCACCACCTTCTGCAGGTTCTGGCACTTCAGTTCCTCCAAGCGGTCAACTTCTAGGTGCAGCTAAAATAGGCAGGGCAGAGAGGAGTCAAGGCAATGAAACACAAGGAAGAAGGGCTTATCTGACGCATAACCTTTCAATACGAATGTAGGGGCGAGTGCTGCTCCTGGACCTCCAGGAGCCGGCAGGGCCCTCGTACCCAGGAAGGGAGCCTAGCCTCTTACAGCGTCCATAATGCTGGCTCTGGAGCCCTCCATGTATGGAGCAAAGGCATTTCTCTCTTCAGGAGGCACTTGCAGCCAGTCCCAGAGCATCAGGATGCGGCAGCGCAGTTCTTCACATACAGCCTCTTTCTGAGCTCTTCTCTCCTCCAGCTGGGAGACAACAAAGGAACAGCCTTAGGTCCAAGGAGAACTAAAGGAAGATAGGTGGGTGCCTTCCCAGCCCATTCCCCCAACCTGCTGCAGCAGATCCTTCAAAGCAGCTAAGTTGTTCAGGGAGAAGCAGAAGGTGCCTGAGTCCTGGCACATGGCTTCTCGCTCAAAGGTGGTGCTGGGCTCCTGCTCCAGCTCCTCCATACAGAGGATGACCTTCTGCTTCAGGTGGACAAACTCTGCCTGCCGATGCTCCTAAGGGGAAAGGAAATGGTCAGCATCAAGCAACACCAAGCCACCCTTCCCCTCTTGGAGACGCCCAGACCTTCTCAGCTGCCAAGGATGCCAGGTGGCGCCGGAAGCAGTCCAGGTCCGCCAGGCTGGGCACAGCCTCGCTGCTGCCAATGTTGTAGGGCGCCCGGCCCAGCAGCCCCGCCAGCTCCTGGTCGCGCTCCTGCAGGGCGCGCAACTCCTGCCGCCTCTCACGCTTCTGCTTGAGCATCACCTCTACTCGGGTGCGCAGATCTTTCTCCAGCTGCAGGATGGTGGCCTCCTCCTCCTCCTACAAGACAGGCAGGTGATAGGCGGGCTCCGGCGGTGGGGGCGCGGGGCACCGCTACGTGGACTCACCTGGAAGGGCGCCAGCTGCAGCTCCTGGCACAGCGCGCCCAGCTCCCTTCGGCACAGCGCGATGCTTTTCAGTAGCCGCTCCCGGAGGCTCTCCTCTTCCGCCACCATCTGCTCCAGCAGGTCCTGCACGGCGCCGGGGAGAAGAGCGCGCTTCAGTCACCGGCCGCCCCCCCCCCGCGCCCCTGCCGCCCCGCCGCGCCGCTCACCTTGACGTGCCTCTTGACCACTTCGGTGCGCTGCAGCCGCTGCTCCTCCGGGATGCCGATCTCCTCCCAGATACCGCGCAGGTGGCTCAGCGCCTGGGTCAGGCAGGCTACCGACTCGCCGGCCAGGACCTCGCTGTGCAGGGAGGGAAGCCATCAGCTCTGTCGCCCCCGACTCGGACCACCCCCCAGACCCCCGGGCCCCCTCGCACCTGCGTCTCATCTTGGCCGGCCAGGGGGTTCCGCGCCTGCTGCACCTCAGTCCCGACCGTTTCTGCTTCGCGATTCAAATCCCCGCCGCGCTGCGATTGGCTCAGCCGAGGGCCCGCCCACGAGTGCTCTTCCGCGGCCAATCCGGGGCCGGCGGCCGCTGTGGGCGGGGCCAGAAAGGCTAGCGTTACGAAGGGCACCCGCGGGCCCCTCCGCGTCGCTGCAGGGAGGGGCGTAGCTGGCCTCGCACCGGATTGTCACCGCGCTGCCCCGGCCAGGCTGCCCGCCCCCTGAGTCACCCCGCAGCTCGTTCGTGGCGCGAGCCTAGAAACCCGGAGAAGCCGCCTTCTAGTGCAGCCTTGGCCTACGCTGGGCCAGTCATCGCCCCTTGCAAGAAAGCGGCAGGCTCCGCCCCGAATCAGACCCAGATGGGAAGAAACGGTGGTGTCGGTGGTCTTCCCTTGCTCCACTAGGCCTACTATCCTCCGCGAGCTGCACTGGCTACCCATTAGTCTCCGGACTCGCTTCAAGGTGCTAGTCGTTACTTATAAAGCCCTGCATGGCATCGGACCTGGGTACCTGAGAGACCGCCTCCTGCCAATTACCTCCCATAGACGGATCAGATCTCACAGACTAGGCCTTCTCTGGATTCCATCTGCCAGCCAATGTCGGCTGGCGGCTCCCCGGGGGAGAGCCTTCTCTGTTGCAGCTCCAGCCCTCTGGAAGGACCTCCCCGTGGAGATCCGGACCCTTACTACTCTCCCGGCCTTCCGCACAGCCACTAAGTCCTGGCTGCTCCAGCAGGGGGGGGGGGGGCTCTTAAAGTACCCAGCCCCACGGTAACTATGAATGTTGTGTATTTTAAAGTGTTGTTTTGTCTATTTATCCCCCTTCCCTTGTTTATTGTAAGCCGCCCAGAGTCCTTCGGGAGTGGGCAGCATACAAGACCAATAAACTAAACTCAAACTCATTTCGCTGCAAGCCGTCTGGAGGCCATGGTAAAGGGGGGGGGGGCTTTTACCCAGGTAGGGAATTGCCAGAGATCTGAGGCCATTTAAGGCATCCGTGTGAAAAGCAGCGTCCTGTCGCTGGAGGAGTGGACCTCTGGCCCTTCTGCCAGGTGGCCGCCCCCAATTATGTTATGTCTCTGTTTTCTCCCCCCCTTCCAATTTCCATCCAGTTTGGTTCATCTTCCACTAGAAGGGAAAGAATTGTGATTTGGGGAAGGGAGAGGATGAGAGCAAGCAGGCACAAAGGCATCAATTAAACAGGAAACCACATGATAGGCAATTGACCAGTAGCAGTTACATCAATTAATCTTTTATTTTGTCTTATTCCTGTGGTTTCTGGCAAGATGTTTATGTGCATTATACACGGACCCATTTATTGCAGGAGAAAAGTTTCCAGAAACAGAAGGCGGAAAATATGGGTGGGAGGGGTCGCTAGGGTCATGTAGGGTTTTTTCAATCTATGGAGGATTTTTCTTCATTTTTCTTGGATGAGGAAGAAAGATCTGTCTGAAATTCTGGGCTTTCTTCCTTTCACTAAAACATTCTAATTTTCTTTCACTGCTGCACACTTCTCTGTCTTGCTAGACACTTCCTCTCCCAAGGAAAGCTCCCGTTTCCAAAGAAGCACCTTTGGACTAATAAAAAAACAACAACACAAGAGATCCAGAAACTCCCACCCAATGGAAGACCAGAAGAGAAAAGGTGCTCTATGCTCTCCTTTATCATGGGAGGGTAAATGACGGCGATTCTCCAGCTGGTGGGAACACAGCCTCTCTCTGGCTGGACAGAACAACCAAGGTATTTTCAAGCATCCCTTTGCCTCCAGTTTGCCTTGAATGCGGTCACATCCTCATCTCCATGATAGATTCTAGCAGGCGAGCACTGTTGGTGATGGCTGTCGTCAGGATTATGAACCGGAGCCCTGGAGGAGAGGCAGGAACCAAAGGTGACCCAGCAGAGAAGAAAGGCTTCCCTGCCCTGGATGGTGTGACTGCAGTGATGCTGAGACCCTGGCTTAAATTGCTTGTCAGCCTAACCTATCTATCCTATGGGACTGTGAGAAGAGCAGAGGGAGTGGGGGGGGGGGGGGCTATTGACACCTGCTTGACTTCCTGAAGGAAGAGCAAGACAAAAATCCAAAAGACTAAACTCAGTCCCAAAAGAAGCCTGATAGGAAGCTACCACCAACTGGTTTATCTGCATAACTGGAAACGGAGGGGAAACCAGTTACAAAAAGCTTACTTTTTCTCTTGATTTGCCCAAGCTTACTTTCAAAATGGCTAGAAGTAGGCCCCTCACTTCAAACTAACCTACATCACCACCCAGTTTATGTGCAGGGGCTCAGAATGCTACACCACGTGAGTCAACCAACTATTGCCCTAGTTTGGGTGTATCTCATACCTCTTTCTCTGCCAAGGAAGCGGAGAGCAGCAACTTCAGAGAAGGTGCAGCCTCCTAAGAAGACTGCCAGGATGACTTGCTGGGAGGCTGGAGGTCGAGGCTCTTCTGCAGCTGCAAGGAGAACGTAGCTAAATCCATGCCTCCATATGAGTTGGCAGATGCGTATGGAGGCATCTGATAGATCAATACGTGGTCTCTCTTCCACCTCCTTCTCAGGTCTGTATCCCCTCAGTCCTAACAATGACTCCTTCATATAAGCACCTCCCAGAGGCAGAATGGGAATTGGGAGGATCACAAGGACCCTGGCAACTCTCCTAACTTCCCCAATTCTCTTGCTGATACAGCTTTTTAGACAGCTTAAGAAGATTGAGTCACCACCACAACTCTTGGGGGATACATGCCAATACGTTTGCTGACAATAAAATCCGCACCATGATCACTGAAGGAAACACACAGCATGCTCCTTTCTGTCCAGAAGGGTGAAGTTGCTGGATAGAGACCCGGCTGTGGGAACAGGACCCCAGCCTTAAGCTGGAGGAGCAGCAGACCCAGCCAGCCACTTACCTGTGACAAATTCATGGCCCCCGAGCAACCTCACCACCTCTTCTAGGCCCAACCAGCCCCTCCGCTCCAGCACCTGAGATAGAGTAGAGTCAATCCAGAGCTGCCAAGGGAGAAAAGGAGCCCTCCTCAAATAACCCCATTAGTCCCAGCAGTCCAAAGGCTCTTAGCACCTGTTCCATTATCTTGCAACTGAGGGGCACATAGGCGCCACTGAACACATAGGCCATGTCCCGGGGCGCTTTCAGGTCGTATTCTCCATTCCCACGTGGGATCTGCAAGGGAACAGGTGGTCACAACTGGAGGCCTCTTCCCTCCCTGCCTCAAGTGAATCATGAACTCACCAGGCCCAGCTTCTTGCTTATAGCTCGGAAATTGTTCTTCCTGGCCAGTGAACTGAAGGCATCCGAGAGCTTCTCTGGGGAAGGAGAGGAAGGGGAAAGAGTTCTTGAAGACTGAAGATACCCATCTCTTTGTCCCTTCCCAGGAGCCAGGGTGCAACAAAATCCCACGATCCCTTACCTGCCGCTTTATCTGTCACCAGTTTGCTGACTTTGTTCTCCATAGCCGTCAGAGTCTCTCCGGACACTTGCTCCGTCAAAAGCCCCAAGTGCTTCAGGTTATGGAAGGTCAGCAGGTGCTCTGGTCCATAACTCTGCCAATGGGCAGGGATCGGCATCACAGCAAAACAAGAGATAGGTGCAGAACACAGTGAAAGTAAGAGAAAGCTTTGGGGAGGGGGCAGAGCTGCACCTCCAGAAAATTGACTTGGATCTCTCTGCCACCCAGGGGAGGGCCATGACCGGCCTCACCTGCAGGTACTGGGTTTTCAGGGATCGGTAGTCCTTGGGAGAAAGTCCTGAGGAAGCAGACAGAAGACATGGGGTCAAGGCACACAGCAGGGCCTGCCTGATCCAGCTCTCCCTTCCAAGCCAGAACCCACCGTTTTCCGTGATCGACAACAGGCACAATATCCTCAGACTCTCAATTGGGGTGACCTGTTTTCGGAACAGTACAGGAGAAGCCAGTCAATGGACAGCCTTCCCCAGACCTTGGGCCACTTCCTCATTCCCATGATTCAGCCTCCTCTCACCTGCCGGTCAATGTGCTCTTCAATGAAGCTAATGCTCTCCCGGATATCAAACCCTTCCAGAAGGGCTGCCAAGCAAACAGAGTGATGAGAGCAAAGCTAGGCCCAGCCTCTCTCTCACCATTCTTGCTTGCCAAAGACCTCTGCCTGCATGGCCTCTGCCTCCTAGCACCTCCCCTCCAGCTATCAGAAAGGAAGCTGCCAACGCCCACAAGCAGCCCAACCCTCAAGCTGAGAATCTTCCGGAATCAGGCCAGTGCCCAGAGGGAGACTTTCCCCACTTCCATATGGAGACTCCAAAGTTCAGCACTCAATGCAGAGATTCCAACCTTGTTTTGGAGTAGGGTTATGTGAAGTGCGGGGAGCCAAGGAAATTTAAAGGCATTTAAAAAAATTCTTTAACTAAATCCTTGATAACAAAACTGTTCAATACTTCCATTCCTCTCCTTGCAACCATGCGTACCCCATTTCATTCCCTGCCTGTTCTCCCCTCTTCCTTCATGCATTTCTTTTGCACCTGGATCTGAATTCATCTCCTCTGCAAGATCAGACCCCGAAGGTATTCCAAGGCCTGGCTCTTCAGTCCTTGCCACCCACCCACTCAAGTTCCTTTGATGTTTCTCCTCATACTCCCAGCAACAAGGAAGTTGGAATCAATGATCTTTTCTGCCCTTCCAGCTGCTTATTCCACACAAGGGACCACATCTGATCCACTTCCCTTAGGCAGCATTTGCAGGTCTTAAGGTTTCTGCATCCTTTCCAGGGGGAAAGGATGCAAACATTCCTCCAAAGTGCAAAAGTTCACCACTTCGAGCTGGTCTTTACCATATATGTGTCTTGCAACTACTGTCTATTTTCCCTGTTAAATTGATCTCTAGTACATTTTCATTTCCATGCTTGTTACATCACTATAGATGAATCAATTTTTCAGTCAGCAACACAGAACTTACTGCATGCAAAAGGACATGAATGTTCATGTCCACAACCAGCAAATCTCTACTGTTGCCAAAAGACTTTCTTATACACCTATCCATAAATACCTGAAAAGACCAACTTGTTTGTTAAAAGACTCTTGTTCCCTGCCCACTTGCTAACCTTCCCACTGGTTTGAAAGAGTCTCAGGAGATGATTTCTGTCATCTGATACCTTCCCACATTAAACTCCAACCCCATAATCATATTCAGCCAGTTCACTTGTACAACCCTTTTTACCATGTTCCGTCTTCAACAGTTCCTGGAAATCTTGTCTGGTTTTTTTCTTCATGATGGACTCACAGGCCCCAATATCTGCACATATGAGGAAGATGGTCAAACCAGGAGG